TTTTGGAACACAGTGCGCATAGTGATGGTCCTGCAAGACAACTGAGTTGCCTTAAGGCTACACCTGATCACACAGTCACAGTGTCTCCTGCAGGGAACTTCAGAGAGCCACAAAAATAACTTTATGTATCTTGAACATTTGCAAGAAAATTGCTGACCAGATGTTTCAAACTGAATGGGATTCCTCATAAATCCTTTTTTTTTTTAAAGGTAATTCTCTCATAAAGTAATTATATAACATTCAAAACCAGGAAATTCATCATAATGCACTAGAATCATCAAATCCTCGCCAGTAGCTCACCAATAAGGCTTTTATATAATTTCCCAGAACCAGCTCAGTGCTCTGAATCACACCTCACAACTGAAGATTAGGCTGACTCGCTTAAGTACAGGTTGCTCCTCGATCTGTTCTGAACTTTTTTGGCCTTGCTCACATTTGAAGAGTACAGTGTGTGACCTTGTACAATGTCATTCAGGGGTGTTTGCCTGAGGATCCCTCATGCTTGCTGCTTTCACAAGGCTCTCATTGGAGAAGCTTGCCCTTCTCTTTGCATCCAATGCAATGAAAAGTGATTCGATCCATTTGGTGGCTATTGATGTATAATATGCCCAATCACCTAGGTGTAATTTATATACTCTCTTCTGAGAAGACACGGTCCTAATGAAAGAAATGAAATGTTCTTTAATCATGTTCTCCTTCTTTCCCATGCTAATCTTATAGATTAGACTGAGTTGGAGCAAAGCTATGGGTCATTTTTTGAATCTATATGGTTCCAATATGCAGCTGTGACTGAAAAACACTGAAGTAACTTGATGCAAGAAAATTACTCAAAATTCTAGATTCATCAACAAATTGGGAATTTATGATGTTGAAGAAAATCAGCATACTCTACAACATGTATGATTTGTTGTGCACCATTCCAAAAATCAAGAACACTTTGTCCTGGACAGTGAAAATACTCAGAACACTCCATGAGCGTGTAGCTGCCTAACCATTAAACAGCTATCATATTCAGACATCTTCAATAACTAGGCATGTATTTAGCTAAATCCATCTATATTCCCTCCCCACGAGTTACAAAATGACATTGGAGAGATCACAACCTTTTATTTTTCAGATGGGAAAAGAGATGCTCTGGGAGATCAGGAGATCCAACTAGAATCAGGGAGTTCATAGTCTAATACAACAATATGCATCAGAAGATCTTAGTTCAAATCCTGGACCATTTCCCTGCAGCGCTTTCTGCATTCTGCCCCGTCGAGTGTGCCAGTTGGGGCCTTCTGTTAGGCAGGCCACTCTGGGGAGGGAACAGCTGAGAATCCCCATGGTCCGATCAGACACTCCACCCCTTCTCCTCACTCCCACCCTTCTGCCCTGCACAGCCAGAAAAGGAAATTATAAAGAGAACAACAACTGTAGAAGCAATACAAGATGGGATTTACAAAAAATCATTAAACTGACCCATAGGACAATGGGACCACAGAACCACAACATGTAGACCCAAGTAGAAAGTGACAGTTGTTAATGATAATCTCAATAGCACTTGATGATAAATGCTATTACATCATTAATGGCAACACTTATGCAAAGGCATGCTTTTTCAAGATACCATCAGATTGGTTGTATATTGATCAGTGCCATTATTTCTAAGCTCTGTTATTAAAGAACTGTAACTTGTCAAATCTTGCCAAAGTTTTATTGGTCATGTTACAAAATTCTAACAACTTGAGAGTTTTTACACCCATGAAACCCCTGGGATTCTATTAAGTTTGCCTAAGAATAATGAGGCCAGGCTTTGTAGTCTTTCCTTCGTCCAAGGACACGCCAACCGCCAGTCACTGAGGTCAGGCTCAATCCCCTATGCTCCGTATCTTACACTCTTCCACCAAACAAAATGCCCTGTTCACCTGGGCTCACAAAATATGTGTTGCTATGAGTCAACCTAACTGGTAATTCTCAAAATAAACATAAATTTAGTTCACTGGCTGACCAAAGCAAAGTTTGGTTTATGATCTTCAGAACTAAGATGAACCCAGGTCTTGGTGAACTCTGTCAAAGGTATAGTTGCAGTAATTCACTGCCCACTTGACACAGCTCCAAACCCTAACAACCACAGTCATTCTCCTTGGGGCAGTCATTTGCTTCCTGCTCTGCACCTCTTCCTTCTGAAGATCTGAGCTGTCAGTCCACCTTCTCTATATATTATCAGAGATAATCTGAAGATGAAGAGTTCTCTGAAATCAGCTAGTTTGCCAAGGGGTGGGCAAGTAATATGGCATTAAAAGTGTCTGCTAGGATGCCCTCTTCCACATCAGGGTATACAGTTAAAGTATCAGATCTACTTCCAGTTCTGTCTTCCTGCTAATGTGCACTAGAGGAGGAAGTAAAGACAGCTCTACTACTAGGACTGTGTGACCAACAGGTAGACATAGACTGAGTCCTGGGTTCTGTGTTTCAGCCTGGCCCAGATTTGGTCATTCACAGATGGGCATTTGCGGGGAGGGGGATCAGCAAATAGAAGATAGGAAGAACTCTCTTTCTCTCTCTCTCTCTCTTTCTCTCTCTCTCTCTCTCTCTCTCTCTCTCTCTCTGTCTCTGTGCATGTATGTATCCACATTTCAAATAAAAGGAAAGTAAAAAAAAAAACTACATCATAAATTTTAAATAATAATAAGTAGAATTAAAAAACAAAACAAACAAACAAACAAAAAAAGAAATGGGCAAAGGAAATGGGCAGACACTTCTCAAAGGAACAAATCCAAATGGCTAACAGACATATGAAAAAACTGCTCAAACTTCCTAACAATAAGGGAAATTGAAATAAAAACAACACTTAGGTTCCACCTAACCCCAGTAAGGATGGTCCACATAGAGCAACCCACCAACAACACCTGCTGGCGAGGATGCAGGGAAAAAGGAACCCTGTTCCACTGCTGGTAGGAATGCAGATTGGTGCTTCTTGGCCTTTTGGCTAAGATCAAGTGTAGGAATGCAGCCTGGTGCAGCCACTGAGAAAGTGAGTATGAAAAATATTCAGACAACTGAAAATTCACCTACCATGTGACCCAGCAACTGCACTACTGAGAATATACTCATAGGTCCTGATGCATGAGAAAGCAACATGCCCTCCTGTACTCACTGCAGCACAATCAACAACTGCAAAAGCTTGGAAACAACCTAAAGACCCATCGACAGAGGACTGGATAAGACACTGTGCTTCATCTATTCTATGGAGTTCTACTCAGCTATTAAAAAGAATGAAATGCAATCATTTGCAGCCAAATGGGCTGAATTGGAGACCATTATGAAAATAACCCAGATACTCATCGAAAGAGGAATGGATAAAGAAACTGGTACATCTACTCAATGAAATACTACTCAGCCATTGAAAAAAATGGAATTATCTCATTTGCAACAAAATGATCCCAACTGGAGACCATTATGCTCAGTGAAATAACCCAATCCCCCCAAAAAAACAAATATCTTTGTGCTCTCTCTGCCCCTGCCTGCATCTTCTCGGATATTTCATTCAGACTTGCAAGTTATCAGCAAGTTCATGAGCTTTTATACTGACATAATCTGCCTCTGAGAAAAGGAAATGATTCTTTTCAAATTTCTTTTTACTTATGGCTCTCATAGCTCATACAGTCGCTTGTTTAAAATTGCTCATCTCTTGCAATCAGATTTACCTTAACTGGCAATAACTTAAGTCTGTATGATTGTGTTGATAGCATTCAGTCATCTCACTTCCTGATTAATATGCACATACTTATATGTATACAATATGCATACAGTTGTATTCCTTTTCTTCAAAGAATATCTATTGTTTATTTTCATTTATAGGAATTTCAGAAACTGACAACCTCAACCTGTGGTGACAAAGGACACAAGAATAAATGATGAGCTTTTGAAACACTTTCATTTTGTAATGTAGATTATTTTCCATAATATGGTTTTATAGGTGTAGGAATTTCTCTGAATCACATGTGAGACTTTGCTTGAATTCCAGCTCCCAGCTTCTACTCCCCTTTTTCCCCTCCCACGGGGGGATTCAGAGAATAAACTGCTGGATAGAAGGTCACTCATTCTCACTCACTGTCTCACTTTGTGTGTGTGTGAGAGAGAGAGAGAGAGAGAGACGGGGAAGGGAGAGAGGAGAGATAATGATTTTAGAGTTGGCATCAAAATGCCATCAGATTCACATTAAGCACGAAACCATGCAATGGAGATGAAAAAAATAAAGGAATCTGGTGATGTTTTCTATGAACTTTTGTTCTTGTTATGGGAAAATGTATGATTAAAAATATGAAAGTACATATGCATACGTGTCTCTAAGCTGGCAACAAGAAATAAAAAGAGTATTTCAGCCCAGCACAACGGTTCAATGGCTCAAACCTCACCTTGCACGTGCTAGGATCCCATAGGGGCACTGGTTTGTGTCCCAGCTGCTCCATTTCCCACCTGGCTCCCTGCTGTGGCCTAGGAAAATGATAGAGGATGGCCCAAAAATTCATATGGGAGGAGGTTGCTGGCTTTGGATCAGCTCCGCTTCAGCCATTACAGCTACTTGGGGAGTGAACCAGTGAACAGAAGATCTTTGTTTCTTCTCAATGTAAATCTGCCTTCCTAACAAAAATAAATAAATCTTTAAAGAAAAATAATATTTCAAAAAAAATTTTTTGTAACACCAAAGTAGGGACATGGATTCTACCACTGGATGTTCATCCTCCCTACAGTTAAGTCTCTCAATGCTTCACTACAATTCTGAACGGCCCCTGGACAATGTCTCTCTTTCCAATACCACTAGGTGGCAGCAAACAGAACTTTCTACCTTCTTACCCTTTGTCCACTTCTGTGTCTATGTTAAGAGAACCAGCACGGCCTCTTGGGACTATTCTTTTTATTTTTTCCCTGCATTATTCACTAGAGAAATGGAAGTCTGAGAACTGACCCAGAAATTAGTAAAATATTTTATTTATAACATCCAGAAGTGAAATGGTTCTGAATTACCATTTTTTGTTTTCTACCATTGTATTGTTTTATAGTAATAGCATACTAATAACTGAGCATAAGTATTAGCCTTGTGGTGATCAATTTGTGTGTTATACATAAAATGCATAGTGGATCTAATGGGCAGTGACCCAGCAAACTCAAAATCTTTAGGGAAAGGAGTGAGTGAGGGGATGACAGGGAAAGGGGGAAGATGATGCTCCCACAGGCGGGGGAGTTACAGATGACAGCAGAGCAGATGATCCTCCCTTCTTCAGATAGGAATGAAGCAGAGCCGGTACGAAGGTGGCACATGTCCAAATCCACTGGCAATAGGAGTACTATCAATGTCCTTTGGGTCAACCAAAGGTTTCAGCTGAAAGTTCTGTAAAATGCTGGTCAGGAAGAGAAATAGCTCCATGCGGGCCAGGCCTTCCCCAACACATATCCGTTTTCCTAAAAACAGCAAATGTAGAGAACTTACTCCTTAAATACTGTGTTGTGAACTGCCATAAAAAAGCATGCAGTAATGACTGAACAGGCAAATGAATTGAAGGACATAGGATGATGGCTCATGGAATGGTTGGATAGACAGGTGGAGCTATCCTCGGCAAAGCTCAAAATGGCTTGATGTGAGATCCTTAGCATTCTATCCCCAATGTGATGCCCAACATCATTCCTTACATTCTTCACCTCTTCTACTCTCAGCTCAAATATCCCATGAAATTTCAAGCTTTGCCAAGTAAGCCATTCCATCTATCCAACAAGCTAACATCAGCAACTATTTATGCTTGCGGTCCTGTCACGGAGTACAGCTTAACCTCTCTAGGTTTCTTTGTTACATTCATGCCTCCACTGAAAGAGGCACTACTTTAAATACCATACTCTATTTGTTTTTCAACCCTGATAAAAAGAGAGATTCAAACTTGCCATGATCCAAAGCAAGTAACAAAAGCCATTGGGAAAAAAAGAATGTGATTTCACATCAGAAACTTATGCACACTTTTCAGCAATCGGGGCAGAGTCATGAAAGACATATAACCCATGAGCAGAGTCAGATCACAGTACTAGGTATCCCAGCAGATTTCCTATAACAGTCCAAGGGTGTTCCTGTTGTAGCTGGTGCTCTGGTTCTGATCCCTGAGTCTATACACAACTTGTTCCTGGAGCTTATCTCCTCTGTCGAAGTGCCTGGACTTATCTTTTTCTTGTTCTCGACTCTAGAGAGGGAGCTGAAATTTCCTCTCTCCTGTTGAAATGTTATGAGGCATAGACGGTTTAGAAGGTAGACAGCTTCTCCCTCCAGCGCAGCCAGCAACCTGTGGTTTCCTTTTTCAGCACTCACCCCACTGGATTGCAACAATCAGTTCATTCGTCTGCTTTCCTAACTCACAAGTCAGCCCCACAGATGCTTAGATGTTCTCGAGGATACTTATTATATCTCTATAGTTTATTTAGAGAGTGGCAGCCACCACAGAGAAGATACTCAAAGTTGTAGACTTGTATATCTTTCTCATGATAAAAGAAGAAAGCCTTAATGAGCTTCGCTTTCTAAGAACACTTGGTTAGCTGGGTGATCTATCAAAGGTGGGTCAACACTCCAATCCCCACTAGTCTGGCTCAATAATAAGGATGTATTACAAGCAAAGAAGACTCAAGGCATTGGGAGTTGTATTCATGATTATGTTCAAAGAGCACATCAACCACTGCCCAAGGAGATGCCATGTAAATTCCAAATCATGCCAGCAAGCTCTCTTGTCCCCTGAAGCACAAATGGAAATGAACTTATATTACCTGTTGAGAAAGGCACGAAGTACTCACTCTTCTTAAAGTTACCACTCTCATCCAGGAAGTGGCCAGGATCAAATTTCTCTGGATTGGGGAATTCCTTGCTATCATGCAGTACTGAAGTTAGTGATGTTATTACAGTTGTGCCCTGGAAAAAAGAGAAATAGATAATCAAGCAAGAAAAATGTCTAAGAATGGCAAGAAACAGAAGTCACCTACTTCAGTCCCTGGTGTACACATTAGAGAACCCACATGTAGAAGCAGCAGTGATGACCCATTGATCACACAGAAGCATCATTTTGTCCAAGAAGATTTTGTGTTTTCTTTTTCATTTCTTCATCAACACATTAGTGATTCAGTAGCATGTTACTGAACTCCATGATGCTGTACATTTTTTAACTCTGTTCCTGTTGTTGATTTTTGTTTTATGGCTTCTCACTTAAGGGAATGTATAGTCACTATGTTACCGAGACTATCGTATCCAGATGTGAGGATACAATGCAGTATGCCTCTCTACTTCCAGATCAAAGATGGACTCCCAATGAAACTGCTGGATATATCTTGATAATAGGTTGCTGGGCTATCTGCCATTGTCTATATTGGCAATGTCAAGATACACTTAAATAGCAGGATGGACTTATGACTGCTTATGAAGGACCATACTATTGTAATAATATGAGGGAAATAAGCTGAGTGGAGAGAATTTGGGGAGGGAGTAAAAGAAATCCAAGAGCCTATGAAATTATATCATAAAATTAAAAATAAAATAGAATGGGGGGAAGTCAGCAGCGATTTTTTCCAGAAAGACAGAACAAGTAGTCTGAGCGTAGAAGCGACGATTTTTTAAGTATCTTCCAACAGTGCAGGAGTACTGAGGACCTGGAAACTTGTGCACCAGAGTGCAGCCCCGATATTTTGATCATTAAGCTTACACACAGATACTTTTCATCACTTGCTGTTCTCTTCATCAACTCAGTTTCCACACAACCTATATGTGGATTTCATCTTAAGTGGAAGACTGTGTTGGCTTTAGAAAAATCAGAAGTACTGGATAATTCTTCATAGGACTTACTGAATGGAAGTATGATCTAATTAAAATGACTTTTGTACCAATGAAATACAGTAAGATTTATGGAATACCATTGGAATGTAACATATTTCTTTTACTTTAAAAATGTGGACAAGCTCTTCACTGTAGATGGATTCTAATCTATTAAAAAAGGAGGGATAAAAATTTTGAAAATATTCACCACTTTGCAATATTGAGGTAAGATCATTGATTCAGGCAAGGATCATAGGTCAGTATTAAAATTGTTACATGAATTATGACATAGTGTTCACAAACTCTGGCAGTACTACGTTATAATTTTTCTTTTGGGGGGTCTGGTGTGATAGTGCAATGGTAAAACGCTTGAACACGCCAGGATCCCATATGGGCGGCGGATCTAATCCCAGCAGCTCCACTTCCCATCCAGCTCCCTGCTTGTGGCCTGGGAAAGCAGCTGAGGATGGACCAAAGACTTGGGACCCTGCACCCAGGTGGGAGACCTGGAAAGAAGTTCCCGGCTCCTGGCTTTGGATTGGCGCAGCACCAGCCATTGAGGAGTGAATCATCGGACAGAAGATCTTCCTCTCTGTCTCTCCTCCTCTCTGTACATCTGCCTTTCCAATAAAATAAATAAATAAATAAATAAATAAATAAATAAATCTTTTTAAAATAATAATTTTTCTTTTTTTAATTTTCTATAAAAAATAGAATCTCAACAATGGAGAATTCTTTTTAAGGTTTATTTATTTTCATTGGAAAGGCAGATCAAATTTACAGAGAGAAGGACAGAAAGAAAGATCCTCCATCCACTAGGTAATTCCCCAAAGGGCCACAGTAGCCAGATCTGAGCCAATGTGATCCAACCCAGGAGCCAGAATCCTTCAGGTATCCCACATTAAGTACAGGGTCCCAAGGATCCTCCACTGTCTTCCCAGACTATAAGCAGGCAGCTGCATGCAAAGTGAGACAGCCAGGATCGCGGTGCTCCCCACCTGAGGATTAGTCATTTGAGCCATCACCCCAGGCCCAGCAATGGAGAGTTCTGACAGACCTCCGAGTGACGATTTAACACCAGCAGTAAAGGAATAAACTGACTTTACCTGCATTTAGCTACAATGTGATGCAATGGAACACACATGACATCATATGAATAATATTCTAGCCCAAAACATATACCTGAAATACAATTTCCAAGAAAATATTAACACATAAAAAAGATGGAGGACTACTTTCCATCACATGGCCCAGAATCTCCAAAGCTTCCACTGTGGTGTGGTAGTATCCCATGTGAGCACTGGTTCGTATGAAAATAAAATATCAGAAAAATGGAACTAAGAGTATGGATTTATTTGGCACAAAAACAAGCATCATTTTTTAATAATAGGCACTGTCTATGTACTATGATTTTAAAATTTTGCAACAAAAGAACATTTCTCATTAAAATAAAACCATACTTCTGGGCCCAGCATGATAGCCTAGCAGCTAAAGCCTTTGCCTTGTATGTGCCAGATCCCATATGGCACCGGTTCTAACCCCGACAGCTCCGCTTCCCATCCAGCTCCCTACTTGTGCCCTGGGAAAGCATACTGTGGACCTCAGAATTTCAAGAATAGAGGTGTAGCATAGGAAAAGCAAGCATGTTGCTATCATCTGAACATGTCTTGGCCCACCAACACACGCAGCACTTAAAACTCAGATTGGTCATAGTAAGAGGGTAGAATCTCAGTCCAATCATGCAGCTTAGCAGATGGGCCCCGTGGGATGCTCTTAAGTCCTGCGGTGTACTCTCAAAGGAATTTCTTATTAAAGAATAGTTCTAAAGGCTTAAATCAGCACCAGTTGCTGTCTCTGCTTCCTGGCTTACCACAAGACGCCTGCTCAGCACAGTCCTGCCCTGTTCACGCCATGCCCTTTCCTCTGGCCCAATATTCAACTCTGAATGTCCAAAGCTATTAATTGAATAACCCTTTTCTCTTGATGAAGACAGTTGCTTTGGTATTTCATTGTTAGCTAATTAATACTCTTACCTTAGGGACAAGGTAGCTTCTGAACTTAATATCACTGGTCACTGCATGGGGCAGGTTAGTGGGGACGAGGTCAATGAATCTCTGGATCTCGTGGATGACAGCGTCCGTGTAGGGCATGAGGCTCCTGTCCTGCATGCAGGGGCTCCGGTGTCTGCCGATCACACGCTCAATCTCCTCCTGCACTTTAGCTGAAAGATACAAATAAGAATTAACAGAAGGGAACAAAAATGGAACAAATTTCACAGCAGTTTAGTGTCACATAATGCACGATAAAGTGGACCCAGCAATACCACAAGGCCTAAAATATGACAACTCTTTAAAAAGTTCATGGACAATGAGTGTTATTAAAAAAAATCTACACATGGAATTTTCATCTTTGTATCAAAATAAATTTATCTTTTTACTTTTATACAAGCTATCTGAAATACACTTCCACATCTAGACTTGGAGAAAGAATGACTATATTATGGGCAGATATAACTTTCTCATAAAGTAAGCATTATATCTGTACATATCTAAATACTAACAAACAGGATAATCAATACAAATTATTAAATCTTCAAAATATAAATATTCAGGTCATATAACCTCAAGAAATTACTGTCTTGCAAAAAGGAAAACAGAAATGAAGGATATAAAAAACTGAATTTATTAACAAATCTGTTAGTATATAAGTATGTGTATGTGAAGTGTTTACTGTCAACTTGCAATAATATGCTCTCATCCTCGCATACCCCAAAGACATGCTGTTGGTGGGAATGTAAATTGTGTAACAATTATGGAAATCATTAGGGAGATTCCCCATAAAGATGAAAAAAAAATGGATTTACCATATAACACAGCCCTTCCATTTCTGGGAATTTACTCCAAAGAAATTAAACCACTACAAGCAAGAATTACATTTGCGCTATAACAGATAGTACATTCGAATTTTAGTGACAAAAGACTTGCCTGTACCTACACATTTAATGTAGTTCCTCAATTCACAATAGCTAAAATACGGAATCAACCCATATGTTCACTGACTGATGACTGAATAAATAAATATATATATATATATATATATGCACACACTCCACAGAACACTACTCAGTCATAAAAAATTGAAGTTCTGTTTGTTTGTGACAAAATGGATGCAGTTGGAAACCATTACACATAGTGTAATTAACCAGTCTCAAAAAGACAAACACATGTTTTCTCTGAAACATGTCAGTTAATATAGAATATAAAAAGTACAAGAATGAAAGACATTTTGTGATATGATTTTTGGTTTTAGCCCTGTTTACACTCCTATGGAATTGTGGTCTTCCTACTTTTTACTTGCTGAATATTATGGCCAATGGTGAATTAAGCCTGTGATTATGGAGTGGAGTAAAACTATAGCTTTACAAAAATTAATAGAAAATAAGGTAGAGGAGGAAGGGAACTGGAAGAGAAAATTTGAGAAGGAGGGAAGTATAGCTATCTTATAGCTAAATCTATTTAACACACGAAATACTTTCTCTTTATACTAATAAAAATTTTAAAGCTCTAGAAGCTTCCTCCAAACTTTAAGTTCAAATTTCTAGTAATGACTATTTCTATTACTTTATTTTTAGACAATGTCTAAAACATGTTTGTAAGAGAAAAAAGAGCTCACATCATCACTGATACTTCACAAAATATGTGAGGTTATGTACCCACAAATAAACGTATAAACACTTCCTCTCACTGTATTTTCTACATTTTATTTATAACAACATTTTTTATGTTTGATACGGAGGTTAAAACACCAGTTGTAACATGAACATCCCATATCAGTGTCTGAGTTTGAGTCCCAACCGCTCCTGCTTCCATCCAGCTTTGTGCTAATGTGAACCCTGGGAGGCAGCATGTTGGCAACGCCCGCGTCGCCACGTACTCCGAGCCCTGAGTCGAGCGGAGGGACTAGGGTTATGAGACAGACAAGACAGACAACACACAGACACAGTGGGTCATTCTTGTGAGGAGAATGCCGAATGCCGTTTATTTGAAGTCAAGCTGCATCTTTTATAGTCTGCTTGGACCCTCCCAGGATCCTCCCAATGGTTAAGCCACACCTAAGCTCCCCCAAGGACATGCAACAAGGGGAAACAAGAAGGAGGGAGATTGCTAAGCCACACCTAAGCTCCCCCAAGGACATGCAACAAGGGGAAGCAGGAAGGAAGGAGATTGCAGTCAAGCCACAGGCTAAATGTATCAGGCCATGATTGCCTTTCCTGTTACACCCTTGAGAAACAAGCTGTGCTGTGGAGTTAATCCTTGGGAGACTGGGGCCTACAGCAGCAGGCATGGCTCACCTGCCCGAGTTCCTGCTGTCCACACAGGAGACCTGGATGGAGCTGCAGGCTCCCTGCGTCAGCCTGGCCCAGTCCTGGATGTTGTGGGCCTTTGTGGAAGTGATCAGTAAATGTAAGCTCTTTCATTCACTCTATGTCTCTGTCTCACTGCCTTTCAAAGAAAAATCAATTTTAAAGCATAACAAAATATTTTCCAGACTGGAAATTTTCACAAGTCATTTCATCAATTTTCTGGAAAATCCACTATACTTTTAGTTTCTGATTTCCCTGCCATAGCATTAGAATACCACATTTTCAGAATAAGGAAAGATCTGTAAGAACATACTGCCATCATCTGGACATGGTCACAATATCTCTCCTCAAAGCTCACGTGCCCTCTGAATGGTGGGGTGAGAGGTAAGGAACCTACAGGCAGAACGGCGTAGGCAATGGGGCTCCACTTTCAGGAGGGGTTAATGCTGATCTTACCGGGTGGAGTCCAGCAGTTTCCTGAATTTTTCTTTCACTTGCAGCTCCTGCACATGGTCTTGGCATCACCAAGGCCTCCTCTGTGAAGCTCTTACCAGAAACAGGCAGACGAGATGCTCCTGACCCTTCATTCCTCTATGAACTCAGCCTCAAAAACACAGGAAATGGACTAAGACGCATGCCTACACTCCAACTTGTCTACTTTTCAAAGAGTCAACATATCATCCTACTCATGCTGGTCCTTCCTTGGAGAGCTCCGATGCCTCTGTATCAGTGCTCACACAGGCTTCTTTATTGGGCATATTTGCTTCACTTTTTATCCCTTCATTGCTTTTGCATCCATTACAGCTGATGGCACAGATTTTTCAGAGAAGCTTCTATAAGGGAAACAAGGTGGAGGGCACCTGCCAACGTCTTGGCCTCACCCTGCTCACCAATGAGGAGCGTACCTGTGACCTCCGGGTGCTTCAGCAGGAGCAGGAGTCCGTATTTCAGGGTGCTGCTCGTCGTCTCCGTGCCAGCTCCAAACAAGTCAGTCACAGTGGCCAGCAAGCTTTCAACAGTGAATTCAGACTGTTGATTATGCTTTTCCTAGGAATTATGTGAGCATTTAGTTATTTTATTTTCCAGTACCTTTAGATAGAATCCAAAGTAACTCAGCTGTTCCAAAAGTAAATACATGTAGAAACTGGACAGTGTAGTATGAAATTTCAATTGCATGAAATAACAGATTATGTATCTCATCGACCCAATCTTTATTTCCTATCACTCTCCCTAATTTTTTCTCTTTTTCTTTCTTTGTTTTTTTTGCCTCAAAATTCCATTCCCCAGTTACTGCTGTAGGTATGATGACCATGCAGCACATGTGCGCCAACGACACATACAAAGGATGCTTCCGGCCACTTCCTCTTTGTTCTTCTTCAAGGTCCAGATATCACTTGGAACTTAAGTATTTGAGCACAAGTATGAATGTTTATGTAGTCATAGGATACAGGCCACGATGGCTCAGGGATCCAGCAGCAGTCCTGGACTAACCTGAGACTTCCGGCTTGTGAAATAAATAAGGACAATAATTCATCAGGTCACTGTTACCTGGGTTTTCGCTGCACACACAATCTTAACTGATAGAAATTAGGGCAAGATCTTAAAAAATGTCATAGGTCAGAATTAAGACTTTGCAATTCTCAGAATATGACTTCTACAATATGGCAGAACAGAGGCCTCCTACTCCTCCCTCCTATTGAATGCACCAAGCATTTTTTCCTGAGCAAAATCATTACAAGAGAAAGAAAGAAACTGGGAGATTCCTATGCCCTGAACAAAAGAATATATAGTCACATCAAAAAGCCTTAAAAAATATCCTGCCACAAAACACAGGCAAATAAATGACATTTTACCTGTTCCATTTTGATCAGAAAGCAATCAATGAAGTCCCGGGGATTGTTAACGTCCAGAGATTCTTGATGCTCTTTGACTTTCTCCAAAACATAATTTTTTACATAAAAAAAATTTTTAAGCACTTGGTTGTGACTCCCTGGGAGAAAATCCATGAGTATAGGAAAAGTATTGCAAATCTTAAAAAAATAATACAAAAAATTTTAATTAAAAACACATACCAAAGACATGTACAGAATGTGCCACTATGTATCAAAACAGAGATGAAAAAAGCCACCCTCTCCACCTCAATGAGCAATATTTGATCGTTCATATACAGTACATCTGTGTTGACTCCATGTTCAAAGATGACAATAGTTTCCTGTACTCACACATTGCGTTTATGCATCTTTATGTAAAAACACAGACTGGCAAGAGTTTTGTGGTTATTCACATGCACAGCTGAGGACAGAAGAGGGATGAGCCACCTGAGCCCAAGCACAGGGCAGCTCCCTGCTGTGGGCGCTCTGAGCAAGCAGCCACGGGAACAGAATGATGACAGTGTGAATACGGGAGGGCTGCAAAGCCGCCACAGAATCTAGATCAGTGTTAGGAGTAAGAGCCCGCATGCCAACATGGTGGTTACTTCTATCACGCGATGCACTAGCTCAACACAGAGCAAGGCTGTGATGAGATTTATGCTTCACCATCCCAGCCAGCATCCCAGGAGATGCATCTAACATGACCTACTCAGGGCTTCCTCACAGCATCTGTGCTCCCAAACATTCTCACTCTTTGACATCCCAACCCAGGACATTTCTGCCAAGTAGTGTCACGAAGGTATATCTAAATGTTGCTTGGTGAACCAGCATGTGGGGTAGCAGAAGTTTTTCATCAAAGCCCTGGAGATGTCACTGGGGGCCATGTGCATGCTTTCAAGCAATCGCTCAAAGAGTGATGGAGGAGTCAAGCACGGTGGCCTAGCAGCTAAAGTCCTTGCCTTGCATGAACCAGGATCCCATAGGGGCACCAGTTCTAACCCTGGCAGCCCTGCTTCCCATCCAGCTTTCTGCCTGTGGCTTGGGAAAGCAGCTGAGGATGGACCAAAGCCTTGGGACCCTGTACCTATGTGGGAGACCCAGGAGAAGCTCCAGGTTCCTGGCTTCAGATCCGTGCAGCTCTGGCCGTTGCAGCCACTTGGGGAGTGAGTCATCGGATGGGGGATCTTCCTCTCTGTCTCTCATCCTCTCTGTATATCTGCCTTTCCAACGAAAATGAATAAATCATAAAAAAAAAAAAAAAAGACTTGTGAGGAGAAAACTGCCAGTCAAGGGGTTGGAATTCTCTATCTTTTGGTATCTGTATTGTTGTCTATAAAACAAAGAGTGTAGCTCTTTTCTCCAGGTGATAGCTCCCTGTTGTGACAATGTGGATAGGTCTGTGCTGTTTACGTATTCAGGTCACAGTATGACACAGGCCAAAATGGCACAGTCGATGGCTCCAAAGTGCCCTACCTGCAAAAACCTTGTTTTGAGAAACCAAGAAAGAATTGTCATAACAAACTTTATCAGAATTCAAAACAACAAGGATTGGCAGCAAGAAGGGAGAGGGAAGCTGAATGAAAGGAAAGGCAATGTGGATGTTTTGTAGCATTTCACTCCCCCTTCCTCCCTCCCAGCTTCCCTTGCCAGTGCTCCTGGCAGGTGCAGCCTGTTGCAGGGTGGGACCCTGGCTCCTGGCTGCAGACAGAACGATTGTGTTTCTCTTTTCTAACCTGCCTGAGAACTGCTTGAAGGATTGATGGAAGATACACCTTCACTTCATCTAATCCAGAGCTCTGAGTGGAAAAGAAGTAGTTATTTTATCAAAACCTTTCAAGGCAAACGGACAACCATTTCAAAAGGATCCCACCTGAGTTAACACAATAGAGCACGAAATAGGACTTTTTTTTCCTTAGTCAATACATCTTTTTTTTTTAATTCCCCCCTTAAATTGGGCTTTAAAAAGCATTCGTGACGTATCTCCCCCCTCTCCTTTGACAGGCACCCCACTCCTGGCCCTCTCAGGAGGCGCTTCCCCTTCCCTCTGCTTTTCCTGCTCACCTGGTCCCTTTGCAAATAAACTTTTCTGTCTGCAACCGGTTCCTAGCTTTTAATTTCTATAAAAAGCTGAGGAAAAAACCCACCAGGCTTTTCTGATAACATATTTTCCCTGGCACCCAACGTGGGGCATGGAAAAGAGATTCAGACTGGAGCCACATGACCCTACTCAACCGCGAGAAGACTTCACAAGATGGGATCTCAGCAGAATTCACAAGTGCACCCCCAGATGCCTCTCGGTGTATCCTTACAAACTGGGACTTATTTGACCCCTGGATCCTGATTAAGGCTAGCAAAACCAGGATATACTTGACCAGGCAGGAGTCCCAGGTCTAGCAAGATGCAGGGAACAGGAACTTCTCAATATTGGGACATGCTACTTCTGACATGTATGCCCGCAGAACAGGACCAGGCTATATCTGAAGAGGCAGGAGTGCCATAACTAGCATGGTGCGGAAAACGGAAACTGGTCAATCCCGGCACATGCCACTTCTGACAGATATGTCCCAGGAGGCTTGGAAGGCTGAGCAGCTGCGGGTCTAACCTCGCCCTCACCTTCCTCCCTTCCCTGTGAACCTCAGGACACCCCTGAACGCCACAGACTGGAGACAAGCTTGAAAGATATTTCAGACTTGCGAGAGATATGAACTCAAGGACGCTTCTGTCTTTATCCTCTCGTTTCAATTGGGAAACAGGCCATCCACTACAAACACCACGTTGGGGCTTATCCTCAAGTCTTGGGGTTTCTTTGACCCCCCCAGTATCTAAAGAGAAAGTACCTGATTCTTTTTCTGTACCACTGCCCGGCCTGCTTATGAGCAGATAAAGCTAGAGAGTAAGCTACAGGTTCCAACTGAAAGTGTTGCTAATTCAGGTCACTAGAAGCAAGGTGTAAATAATCAGTAACTTTAAAACATTTAAGAGATCTTAAAAGAAAAAAAAAAAAGCTATGACTCCCTAAGACTCCCTAAACATTAGGAAAAAGTTTGAGAGACAAGATGGATCTCCCCATTGGTACAGAGGTGGCCCCTACAAAGAACCCCAGCAGGGACCCACAGGATGAACGAAATCACTTCATTTATTGTGTTTTGGAGGAATGAAAAAAAGCAAAAGTTAAGCCTCTGAGACCATCCAGGCCTGCTGAGGTCTTGGCCACCCTTCAGGTGGGGCACAAGTATTGCCTAACCTACGGTGAAGAGACCACCAATGGGGAACATCTTACCTGTAGGTTCCCGCCCAACAAGGAGGGGTAAGAGAAGGCTTAAAAGCCCAAGACCCTTCCTCAAACCTTTGATGTCCCTCCATCTCTCCTGTCCAGAGGCACCCCACCTCCCAGCTTTCTCCTGGGATGTGATTTCCCCTTTCCACTTCTTTTCCTGCCCACATGTTCCCTTTGCAAATACACTTTTCTGTCTGAAAAAACAAGTACCCATGAAGATAGGCATGTGGTGTCACAATTAGAACACAAGTTCAGACATCCGTGTGTGAGTTTGACTCTCAGCTTTGCTGGCTATCCCAGCTCCCTGCTAATGCTCACCATGGGGAGTAGCAGGTGACGCCCCAAGTTCTTGGGGCCCTGCCTGGACTGAGTTCCAGGTCATTGGCTTCAATCTGTCTCAGCCTCAATCATCACAATTATTGAAGAATGAACTGGTAAATGAGCATTCTTTCTCTTTCTTCCTTCTCCCTTCCCCTCCCTCCTACTCTGACCTTCTAATAAACTAGTTAAATCATTCTAATGTGTTTGTGTACACAGAAGAACTCAGAAAGCTATGAGCATACTCTGGTCTGGACACGGACTAAGAGGGGACCTGAGAAGACTGACTGTCACTCCAGCTGACCTCTCAGAGCTGCTGGAGCACCAGCCACTGCAGCAGAGGGCCAATCTGCAAGAACTTCACTTCTCCCTTCCTCCTTCCCTTCCATTTTCCTTTTTTTGTTTGTTTGTTTTTAAGATTTATTTATTTTTATTGGAAAGGCAGATATACAGAGAGGAGGAGAGACAGAGAGGAAGATCCCCCATCCATTGATTCGCTCCCCAAACAGCCATTAAGGCCAGAGCTGTACTGATCTGAAGCCAGGAGTCAGGAGCTTCTCCTGGGTCTCCTGCGTGAGTGCAGGGACCCAAGGCTTTGGGCTGTTCTCGACTGCTTTCCCAGGCCACAAGAAGGAAGCTGGATAAGAAGCTGGGCTGCTGGGATTAGAACCGGTGTCCCTCTGGGATCCTGGTTCATGCAAGGTGAAGACTTCAGCTACTAAGCTACCATGCCGGGCCTTCCATTTTATTTTTTTTAAGTGTCATTTCTTCTTCCCACCTTTTTTATTCTATTTATCAATCTCACCTATGTCTTCCTATCTCTTTTTTTTTCTGACACCTCACATTCCATAAATCTCTATCCTGACTAGCTGAGATTTAAGAGAAAAACATTTAATCTTTGGGCCTGGCACAGCATCCTAGTGGCTAAAACCCTCGCCTTGCATGTGCCAGGATCCTATGTCCCAGCAGCTCCACTTCCCTTCTAGTTCCCTGCTTGTGGCTAGGGAAAACAGTCGAGGACAGCCCAAAGTCTTGGGACCCTGCAACTGCGTGGGAGACCCAGAAGAAGTTTCTGGTTCCTGGTTTTGGACTGTTTCAGGGACTGGCACAATCGTTCCACTAGCTAATCCTCTGTCTGCTAGTGCCAGCATTCCGTATGGGCACTATTTCATGTCTGGATGTTCCACTTCTGATCCAATTCCATGTTTGTGGCATGAGAAAACGGTGGGAAATAGCCTAACATCTTGGAATCCTGTACCTATGTGGGAAACCCAGAAGAGGCTCCTGGCTTCAGATCAGCTTAGTTCTGGCCATAGAAACCATTTGAGGAGTGAATCTGTGACTGGAAGATCTTTCTCTGTCTCTCCTTCTCTCTGTAAATCTGCCTTTCCAATAAAAAATAAATACTTTTTTTTATTTAGCTAAACAAATAGCTGTAATCTATGGAAAGCAAGGAAAGGAAATATATCTACAGCAGAAAACAGCCACAAAGCCCTAAAAGAACAACAAAGGGTCTGATTTCCAGGATTATCACCTGGCTGGTATTCAAATAGCCAGCTTTCAAAGCATATTCCATGGAGAACAACTCACACTCCATATAGAATTCTCAACATCTTTGAAAGAGTATCAAGGAGTTTTCTTGGTAAAGAAGCACTTAACCTCACCTGGATCCATGGGGTACTCATAAGCTTGAGATTTTCATTGAATTTTTCCATCAAATTAAGAAAATTTTGATCTGCGTAATCAAAACGGCTCTGGAAAATCACGGAGCAAATCATGTTGCAAGGAGCAGCACCCAGAATAAAGGTTGGGTCACAGGGCATGGCTGAAGAGGGAAAAACAATTTAAAAATACTATTAACACATAACATAGAAATACCGATAATAAAGATCATTTGAGAACTTCTGGGTTATTATCCACCTAGAAATGCGATGATCAGCAAATTCCTCAACATTTTTAAAATCCATGTGTCATTTTTCCTAGGATTGGCTGTTTCATCCTAGCCAATCTGGTGATAATGGTCTTCCAGTTATTCTACCGACATCACAGCGTCAGTTTACATGATTCTGACCCAAAGCATCTGGTTCTTCTTGTAGAGCAAATGAAATAAAATGGCATCCGTTTGTCAGCTGAAAATATAGATCACCTGTCATTGACAGAGCAGGAAAATTGGGACCTGGGAAGCTCTCAGAGAACGCTGGAAGGAACAGTGTGGAGAACCAGCAGAGAGAAGGACTAAACATAAAGAGAACAGGAAAATGCAAGTATCTGATGAAACAAACGTTTCAAAAAAGAAAAGAGGAGAGGAGAAGTGAGGAGAGGAGAGGGGAGGGGAGGAGAGGGGAGGGGAGGGGAGGGGAGGGGAGAAGAAGAGAGGGGAGGGGAGGGGAGGAGAGGGGAGGGGAGAAAGAAAGGGCTCCTCCAGGTTCTATGAAAGGTAAAACTAACCCAAACTAACCCAAATCAAAAGATAGATTGGCCCTCCTAAAAACAAAGTAAGAAGCCTTCATTCCAAATTCAAATCACAAGACAAAGAAAACGTTCAATCGATAAATAAAGACCTTTAGTTTGTCCATTTCAATATTAAAGAGGCGGAGGGGAATATTTGCTGAATTAGGAAAGAGCACATATTCTCGTCAGTCAGAACCCGCACTTACTTGGACAAAGCCTGCCCTCCTGTGGAATTACGGATTAATGCCCTATACAGCCATCAAAAACTGAGAAAGGGTATTTTGTAATTTTTATTAGTAGAAACAAAGCAAATGTCATAGGTACAATTCCAAGAATATCACCATATTTTCATTCTCCTCTCAATCTTCCTCCTTTCTTTATGTTTTTTACAAAAATATAATTCCAACTCACTTTATCATCAAAGCTTAATATGCCACTAACCATAGTATTCAAAAAATAGAAAGTAGAAAGACCATAGGTTCATAGGCAAGGGCAAAAAATCAGCAATCAAATTGCCAGATGTCTGCTTTATTCCACTCAACATTATTTATGTTAAATCCCTCATTTATATGGGGGGGGCAGGGATGGGGAATTTTAGATTAAATTGTTGTAATCAGATCACTAATAAAACATATATGTTCAGAGCACAGGACTGAAGTCCTCGCCTTGCATGAACCGTGATCCCATATGGGCACCAATTCATATCCTGGATACTCCACGTCCCATCCAGCTCACTGCTTGTGGCCTGGAAAAGCAGTGGAAGACGGCCCAAAGCCTTGGGACCCTGCACCCACATGGGAGACCCAGAAGATCCTGGTTCCTGGCTTCAGATCGGTGCAACTCCAGCCATTGGGGCCACTTGGGGAGTGAACCAGTGGATGGAAGATCTTTCTCTGTCTCTGCTTCTTTCTATAAATCTGCCTTTCCAATTAAAAAAAAAAATGTTCAAAACCCCCAAATTGATATCATGAGTGACTCAAAGTGTTGTGAAAAAATAGTAGAGAATTAAATAATTGAAGAACCCATTGCAAGATACTTGCTATGTCTAGAGATGAGCTAGGGTGATCACCCAGTCCTAGCTGCGGAGTCCCTCCCAAGCCCATAGGAACCCAAGAGATCAAGGAACCATGATACATAGAAAATTTTAAAATGACTAACATAAATAAAGGCAGAATATCCTGGGGAAGGTAAGGCAAGGATTTTTAATAATAGAATTTAGTTAAAACAGCCTTATTAATGGTTATTTGCATATATGGAGAATTTTACTGCAATTGCTTAAATATACTTAAATATACAGCTCCAGCTAATTGCTAATTACTGTAAGATGGACATTTGCTCTACTAATGAAGCAGCCCACACACCACCCCATCCCAGGGTACCTAGGTTTGAGTCTGGCTCCACCCCTCATTCTAGCTTCCTGCTAAAGAACATCCTAGCAAATGTCATGAAGGTTCAAGTGTTTAGGTCTCTGCCATCCACATGGAAGACCTGGAATGAGTACCAAGCTCCAAGCTGTGGCCTGGCACAGCATCAGGAATGGTAAGTGAACAAGAGAGCTGGTTTGCTGTCTTCTCCTTTGAAACAAATAGACAAAATAGCTATTAGTTAACAAAGAAATCATAGTCCATAAGAGTGCATTAAAGATGCCCAGCTGTTTGAAACCACAGATAAGCATCACTATTGGCAGAAATAGTAAGCCCTCGCCTTCCCAGAAAACCCCCAGACGCAGCAGGAAGGCTCACCATCCAAGCCTGGACCATTGAATAAAAGCACCTCTTATGTGCGCATGCCCAATGAGGATGCTGGCAGTCATTCCCACTTCATCCACATGGACTGAAAGGCAAGTCTCAGAAAGGTCTGGACAATGCCGGAAAGAGTGTGAGAGCATCACAGAGGTCAAAGCAGTGTGGGAGAGTAAATGTGGCAAAGCAGAGGTGCGGAGTGAAGAGTCACCCACCGTTGGTTTTCCTCAGCTCCTCCACAAGGCAGCGGGCCTCCTCCTGAACTCGCTCCTCTATGCTCCTCTTCCCCATCCCGAAATTGCGCAAGGTCATGAGCGAGAAGCGCCGCATCTCCTTCCATTTCTTTCCATTGCTGAAAAGAAGTCCTACCAGAAGGGGAAACAGAAATTAGGAGGGATATTCCAGGCAAAGGATAAAGGAAACTGACAGATGGCAGACAATGGATAGCCTGTAGCATGTGTTTGAAAAGCTACACAAATCTCTGTTTTCCATACTTTCCATCCCATTGCTCAACACACAGACACACACACGCTCTCACTTACCAAGTCCTTTATTAACTTTTTCACCTACTGGGAAACTGCCTCTTGCAGAAAACACTTCTCCAGGGTCAACCAGGGCTTCCTTCACTGCTTCATATCCATGCAACACCACAATGGGCTTTATGCCAAAGTACAGAGTGAACACAGGACCATAGACTTTAGAGAGCTGGGAAACGGAAAGAAGAGTCAAACTGTAGCGAAACAAGCCAGTGTTTTGCCAGTATAATCCGTGTGATTCAGATTGCCATTATCATGTTGTTGATGCTTTTGTCCTGTCAGACATATCTCCAACTACACCTAGATGTGTGGTATAACTATAATAGTGATTGTTCCAGTGACCACATAGAGACCCCCTCCCATTGCCAGACAACAGACCTGCTGATTAGTACAGATCGCTAAGCCAATAATCACATCACCACCTTGAGCTAGATTTACTTACTCCGTTTCACAGATAAAAAGAAACCAAACAAAAAAAAAAAAAAAGGAAGAAACTAAACCTTAAAGAATTCCCAATTTATCTCCAGTATCCCATGAGTAAAAAGTAGAGAACTCAAATATTAATTTCTGCTGCTTGAGCAACTTATCATGACACTCCCAGATGCTGTTTCAGGATCACCTGCAAAGCTCTTCCCATGGGTATCTCAGTAGCCTGTGATAAATAAAGGTGCATTTTAAAAATTAGCCGCAGATCATTCCAATGCCAGCTCAATTTGAGATCTGCTGGTATTACAAACACTGAGAGGATAAACACCACACAGGGAGTGCCAGGACATGTGGCATGTCGTACAAAAACCATTGCTATACGACCACAAGTCAAGGCAGCAGCTCTGGGCAAACCCAGAAATTTCCCTTTACCACCCAACAGACCCTGAGTAGATCACTTTTTCTCATCCAATAGTGTTTATTGTGTCACCATAAATATTTCCTTAGCATCAAGTATTACTTGTTTCTTCATAGTTCAATTATCTTGGCTCATCTGAGTGAAATTATGAGGAGCACACGGTAGGTAACTTCATGAATAAAATCTCTAATTAGGGCCCGGCACAATAGCCTTGTGGCTAAAGTCCTCACCTTGAACACACCAGGATTCCCTTTGGGCACCAGTTCTAATCCTAGCCGCTCCACTTCCCATCCAGCTCCCTGCTTATGGCCTGGGAAAGCAGTCAAGGATGACCCAAAGCCTTGGGACCCTGTACCCACATGGGAGACCTGGAAGAGGCTCCTGGCTTCAGATTGGCTCAGCTCCAGCCGTTGCAATCGCTTCGGAAGTCAACCATCAGACAGAACATCTTTCTCTCTGTCTCTCCTCCTCTGTATATCTCCCTTTCCAATAAATAAATAAATAAAATCTTATTTTAAAATCTAATTAAGCAGCACTCCATTAGAAGTTACCATTCTGGACCTGGTGCAGTGGCGCAAGTGGTTAAGGTCCTCGCCTTGCACGCCCAGGATCCCATATGGGTGCCAGTTCTATCCCGGCAGCCCCGCTTCCCTTCCAGCTCCCTGCCTGTGGCCTGGGAAAGCAGTCCAGGACGGCCCAAAGCTTTGGGAACCTGCACCCGTGTGGGAGACCTGGAAGAGGCTCCTGGCTTCGGATCGGCATAGTATCGGCCCGTTGCGCTCACTTGGGGAGTGAATCATCGGATGGAAGATCTTCCTCTCTGTCTCTCCTCTCTGTATATCTGCCTTTCCAATAAAAAAATAATAAAAATAAATCTTAAAAAAATAAAAAAGAAGTTACCATTCTACAAAATACCATAGAATATAACTGCTGGGCCCAGCACAATGGCAGAATTGGCTAATCCTCCCCTTCAAGTGCTGGGATCCCACACAAGCATTGGTCCATATCTCAACTGTTCCACTTCCCATCCAGCTCACTGCTTGTGGGTGGCCTGGGAAAGCAGTGGAGCATGGCCCAAAGCCTTGGGACCCTTCACCCACATGAGAGACCCAGAAGTTCTTGGTTCCTGGCTTCAGATTGGTGCAACTCCAGCCACTGGGGCCACTTGGGGAGTGAACTAGTGAATGGAAGATCTTTCTGTCTGACTCTCCTTCTCTCTGTAAATCTGCCTTTCCAATAAAAATAAATATTTTTTTTAACATGACCAAAACAACAAATGGCAGCAGCATTTTTGATCTTGATTCCCGCTTCCAACTTAAATATTTCTCTAGTGGCAAAATGGATTCCTGAATGCCAGGGTTTCTGAGAATCACATAGCAAAAATAACAATCCCCAGGAAGTTCATTGCATTAAGTAAAATACTCTCACAATTTTCCCCCAGTCATATTTTATTTCAAACTAGAAGTTAGTTATTTACCTTTGCACGCCACTGGAGGAGCATAATGCATACTTACGTTGGTTAAGGATTTGCTGATGTCCTTAATATCCAGCTGCAGGAGATTTCCAACAACCGGGAGTGGAGTGGGGCCGGGAGGGAGTCCCCTTCTTCCAGAGCTCTGTCTCCAGAGCAAAAGCAGAAGCAAACAGGAGAGACCAAGCACCAGGGCCACGGCGGGACCCATGGATGCCTTCCCTTCTTCCTGCGAGCACCGTGAGCAGGCAAAGGCTCTTCTAAGACCAACACCCGCGTGGCTGTGGACAGGGAAATGACTAAGCAGCTAGAAGCACATTAGTGCTTTTTCTGAGTAGACTTTGGTCCAGTGAAAAAGATGAAAGAAGGGTGTTCTTTGCTCTTGCTCGGCTTTCTGTTGTCCCACCCTAGCAATACTGGTCTAATCAGTTTTAGGGTAGAACCCAGGCACTCTTGCGTCACTTTTTAAACATGCTCAGGACAGAGAACTAATGAGGTAAATTACTTGATTGGTGGCAGGGGTTTGTACAACTTCAGGATTCTTAGCTTTACAATCAGTTGGAAATTTGTGATTCTGAGGCAATCTGTTCATTCTATCCCTTGCTACTTAAAACAATGTTTACACAGTAACTCTTTGGCAAATAATTTGGTGCTTTCTCTTAAAATGAAAGCCACTCAAAACATAGCAATACGTAGCTGCCTAAACATGAAATCACTGACATAAGTCATGCGTGTTGAACATTTGAACCTTTTCTTATTCACCCTCTGATTAACATTTGAAAACAGGGATTATAGCTTCTTATTTTTGAAGAAGGAGCCACCTGAAGTTTCCCACGGCTCATGGGGGCCAGAGCACGACTCTTCTGACGTCCATCCTAGTCTTATGCCATGATTCACACCACAGCCGCCCTTAAAGTAATTTTAGCAAAATGAAACTAAGGTTCAAAAACACGAGCTGTTCTGAATGTACCCCACACTGGCTGCTGATAAAATAATAGGACTTGACATTCTCATGAGCAGAAACAAAATTACAGATTCTGCTCTCTCCACTGTTGCAGAAGCAACAGTTGTTCCCTTTTTTTTAAGATTTATTTTTTTATTTTTTATTGGAAAGGCGAATATACAGAGAGGAGAGACAAAGAGGAAGATCTTCCGTCCAATGATTCACTCCGGGCCCCAGTTGGTCCCTTAACGGAGAATCTAAACCGCTCTGTTCTCATCTCACCCTTTCCCCGGAAGACATGGCCCTTTCTCCCTTTCTCCAGCAAGCAAAGGCACTCTTACCAGAGGGAAGCAACTCCAGACCTCTTAAACAGTCTTTTCTCTCCTCTTCTCTGCTCCCAGCAGGTGCAGCATTCTCTCACCTGATTTCCTTAGCACTGCTCCGATTGAAGTCTCTGTAAGGACACCAACGCCGAACAGTCCTCCTCCACCATCTTGCTCCGCCTTCTCGCTGAGGCAAGAGCCAGTCTCAGAAAGGAGTGCAAAAGGCTGGGGGAAATGGGCTTTTCGCATCTCCTCATCGCTTCCAGACACAGCTGTTGCTGTTGTTTTCTTAGCCTGGCATTGTCCGTAATAGCAGAATAATACAAACGATGACGAGGAGGCGCGACAGTGGACAGACCTGCAGGTATGAGCTTCAGTAGTGAACGGCATCAGGGGTCAAACAGACTCAGGTCACAGGCCCACCGTGTGCAGACCTCACGGGCAGATGCAACTGAGGGCGGCAGGAGGACCTGAACAGCACTGGAGTGAAAACCTGACAAGACCACCAAGTGCAATGGAGATATAAAGGCACTGAAAATGTCATGGTATTTGTCACGCCTTCTCCAGGCATCCCATATGCACCCTGGTTCAAGTCCTGGATATTCATGAGCAGGGCAAGAAGCGGAAGATAACCCAAGCGGTTGGCCTTTGTGCAGGGAGGCCCAGAGAAGACTAGCTCCTGGCTTCGCCCTGGCCATTGAGGCCATTTGTGAATGAACCAGTGTAGGGAAGATCTCTCTTAATCTCTCTTCTCTTTCTCTAGCTCTCTCTGTACTTCTTTCTTCAAACAGATAAAATAAAGCTTTTCTAAAAAATATAACATAGTATTTGTCCTAAATCATTGTACGTGGTTAATTCTTTTGAATGTTTTTGTTGTATATATTTAAGGTGTCATATATAAATGGATATTTATGAATATATGATGAATATATATGAATGAATGTATACACACACACATATACATCTTTTCAGGAGAAAAACACAATTAACAGATACGTTTCGATCAAGCTCTTGGTGCAGTGGTTGGTCAGAACGCTTGCACTTGAATCTGGACTTTACTTCTAACTCCACTTTCCTACTAATGTACACCTAGGCAGGTAGCAGACGTGGCTCAGTGCAGGAGGCCCAGGCTGTGTTTCCGGCTCCAGGCTTTATCCTGGCCCAGCTCCAGCTGTTGCAGCACTCAGGGATAAGTGGGAGATATGTCTCTATCTCTCCCCATTCCTCTGCATTTCAAACAGACATATTTCTTAAGATGAAAGTTTCCATAGGAAAGTATCTGAAATCCAGTGTAGTTTTTTTCATATTATCTATTTTTTCAAAATAGTTACATTTTATTTGAAAGGCAGAAGGCAAGAGACAAACCTATCTGCTGGTCCACGCCCCACATGCCCACACAGGCAGCTAGACTGAAGCCTGAAGCCAGTAACTTAGTCTAGGTATCCTCGGTGAGTGGAAGGACCCGAGTACTGGAACTAACGTGCTGCCTTCACAGGGTGTGCATCAGTGGGGTGTGCATTAGTGGGGTGTGTGTCAACAGAGTGTGCATCAGTGGGGTGTGCATCAGCGGGGTGTGCATCAGCGGGGTGTGCATCAGTGGGGTGTGCATTAGTGGGGTGTGTGTCAACAGAGTGTGCATCAGCAGGGTGTGCATCAGCGGGGTGTGCATCAGCAGGGTATGCATCAGCGGGGTGTACATCAGCAGGGTGTGCATCAGCGGGGTGTGCATCAGCAGGGTGTGCATCAACAGAGTGTGCATTAGTGCGGTGTGCATCAGCGGGGTGTGCATTGGTGCGGTGTGCGTCAGCGGGGTGTGATCAGCAGGCTGTGCATCTGCCAAGTGTGCCTCAGCAGGCAGCTGGACTCAGGAATGTCGATAGAACTCTACCCAGGTGCTGTTACAGGATGCAGGCGTCTCCTGCAATGCCTTAGCCATGCACCAAGTACCCACCCTCCACGTCTCCATGAACTTTTTTAATATCCTTGAACATAGTGAAAGGATGACTGTCACATTTACATATCCATCACCTTCCATGAATGTCTTGTCTGCTGTGATAAGAACACCTGACATTTATTGCTAGCAGTTTTTAAAGCAACTACTAACTACAATCCTCCTGTTGTGTGTTAGCACTCTAGACTTGGTTATCTAACAGCAAATTTGTATTCTTTAAATTTGTACTCTTTAAACTACTTTTCCCTTTGTCTTCCCACTGAAAACTCTAACCACCATCCTATTCCGGTTCTATTTATTTGACTTTTTAAAATTTCACATGTGAGACTATGCTGTATTTTGTTTCTGTGTCTGGTTTATTTCACGTGGTAGCATGCCTTACAGATTCATCCCATAAAGCTTATCATTTGGCCCAGCCGGGGTTGTGGTCATGAAGAAGGGGAATGCTCACCTGTGCTTATGGCCTTCTGGTCTTATGGCCCAGGCCAGATATCAGTTTTGATCCTTGGCCTCATTGCTGAACAGTGACTTGTGACCTGGGCCTACTTGCGTGAAGCAGAGAGAACAGACTCCAGGAAATAGGAGAGGACAGGCTGACAGCAAAGGGGCACCTGGAGACCTGCGGACACAGGAAAGAAGCTGGGAAGACAATGAAGTGATGTTACAGTGACCAAATAGCCTAACGGAGCTCAGCAACCAGCGATTGGCAATTGCAGCTCTACCCAGGGAAAACATTACCGAATTGGCATCCTACAGGTTACACCCAAGTGGCCCCCAGACATAAAGCCCAGGTTGGTTCCACAGTACAAAGAGCAGGCAGCCTGGCCGATCCTGAGTCAGCTCCAGGGCCACGTGTGCTCCAGACGGAATAGCCATCAGACTTCAAAGGAGCTGTGCTTCAGGTCCTTAGCGTGAGATCAAGGCTTGGAACAGGGCTGAAAAACCTACACCAAGTCTTAGGTTCCTAACCTGTCAATGGTCCAGCCTCAGGAACTATTTAACAATGGTCCTGGGGCACTTCAGATTTGAGCTGAATCATTGGAATCAGGAGAGCGCTGCTGAGCTGCTCAGCCACAACCCAGTGACTCATCTTGTTGAGACACAGTTGCTCTCACTTCACTTCAATGACTCAGTCGGAGAGCTTCAGCTCTAATAAAGATAGACTGGTAGCTAATCCCATTTCACTTTTTCAGAGGCAACAATTGTTACATCTGAACAGCTTGCTCACAGGAAAACAATTTCACAGACTGCACTGGAGTCAAATCAAGCAGCTCCTAGAAGAGACTGCCTGAGGAAACAGAATTACAGGCGCAGGATCTCTAATGGTACAGTTTTTCAACTGAGGACAGGCCCAAAAATGTCTTAGACTGCAGCATACAGACTGTGAAGGAACAGAAACATCCCATCTATAGCTAACAATGTTTTCCTGCAGACACAGGAAGGTGGGGATATTTGTTCTGGCAAGCAAGGAGCAAGCACAGGAATACAAAAACCCCCTATGTAATAGGAAGAAAAGCAGTGAATGCTATGTCCTCTTCCTTAGGAGAGGCAGTCCTGGGCAAGGAGGCATATATGGGATGAAGTTAGCACTGTCATAAGGGTGGAGTCACACGGCAGAAAAGAATCCGAAAGGTAAGGTTTTGGGTTAGAATGACGTCATCTGAGGTGATGTCACCACCAGCAATGCCTTCTTGGGGAGGCAGGACTGGAAAGTGCTAAGCGCACATCCACTGAGAGTAAGGGTATCTAGCGTTCACCATCGAATTCCTCTGTTCACTATTGAGGCTGGCACTTGATACGGAAGTTTGCTCAGTTTGGGAAGCGGGAATCAATCCTTGGCGTCTGATGAGGGCCAGAGCTTTGTGAGCCAGAGAAATCCCACAGGAAGACAGGAAACCAGAGTGTGGCAGGCCAGGCTGGATCTTTCAAGACCAACTCAGGCTTATAGGAACAAGATTCACATGAATTCCTCCCAAGAACAGTTCCCCAAAACA